ATCCATGTCCTCTCCATTGAGAGAGGGAGGTGGACCCGTGGAGAGGATGCTCTCCTCCGCCTTGGCCTGGTCCTTGTCCTTCATGTACCCGGCGAAGTTCGACAGCTCTGCTCGGGCCTCGGCCAGCTGGTTGTCGTCGCAAGACATCCTGAAGCGTGGGTTGTAGGGTGTCTTTCAGGGTACTGTGCACATGCAGCATGTGGGCACACATCCACAGGATCGGGCAGGCCTGTAGGTGGGCTGAGGCACGGTCGTACCGCCTATGGCACCACTCGCACGGGCTGGAAAGTCTGCCCCGGTTCTTGATCCATGCAAGCACGAGCGGCTGGGCTTCACGGATGTGCTTATGCATTTTGCAAGCATGTCTGGACAGGTAGGATGGATTGGCTACCCACTGATTGCACACAGGACAATGATTGGCCCTGTCAGAAGCACGCAATGCATGGGCTAATCCATGGATGTCGTGAGTCTTGGCAATTTGCTGGAAAGCAGGATTTTCAAAAGCTGGGACCGGCTCGTCGTCCTCCGCCTTTGTTGGCACAGGCTCTGTCGATGACCCCGGCGCGGACGCCCCTTGAGCAGGTCTCGACACGATAGTGCTCTCAAGCTGGGTCGGCACGCTGCCTTGTGTGCTCAGATGGTCTCTGAATAGTACCGGGCATGCATGTTGACTGAAGTGTCCCATAAATTGAGGCCATCCATAGAATCGCTTACCACAGTGTTTACACTCAGGTAACCCTCGAGCAGCGTGCACTCGGTACTCGTCCCGTCTGGCATTTTTGGTCGTAGGATTGGTCTGCTTAGCAGGTCTGCTACGAGGATGGGCTTTGCCTATGTGTACACTTAATGCATGGGTGCTGGGGAACTCCTGGCTGCAGATCGGGCAGGAGCACCGGAAACGTTGAATTTGCGTGACTTCAGTCACCTTGGCATGTACCTCCTCCCCTTGGGTGTGCAGTTGGGACTCCGGTTGCTGAAAGGATGCCTGAACTAGGGACCACCATTGTTGAACATGTTGTGGCTGCAAGTGTACTACCTGTGGTCGACCTTCGGCATTACGTTGTTGGCCTAGCCTGGTAAGCTTGTGTAGGGGTGGGTCCAATCCAAGTCTTTGTAGTAGGTGGATCGTGGTTTCATGTTGGACATGTGCTGGGCTGCGCGCTACCATACGTAGTTGCTTAGCCACTGTTTGGTTGAGGAGCTGAGCACTGATGTGGTCGACGCCTGTGGCTGTCAGTCCATAGCTGAGGACAGACCAAACCCCGCTCTGCCAGAGATGAATACGTTTCCTTAAAGGTATGGTGTTATTTTTGAGGAATGGGTGCAGTCGATGAAAGGCCGTCCATGCCTGGCTGACGCGAAGCTGCATGCTGGCGCGTTCAAAGGTAGTGTATCCAATCTTCATTCCGAGGTAGGTGTGACTAGTTCTGATCGGTAAATACATCTTCCCAAATGGATCTTGCAGCTGCAGCGTGCGCTCGCCTCCTCTGCGAATGACAAAGTCTGCGAAGAGCTTGTCGGCTTCCGGCCCTTTCATAGCAAGTAGGATGACAGTTTTCTCTGTGGAGACTAGCATTCCCATATCCCTTAAGTCTCGAATGATTTTAGGGAGATGCTGACAAGCCCTTCTGAAATCCCTTGGATGCTGAAATTCCCACTGCACATGAAAATCATCTGCATATTCTGTAAGGGCCTGGTCGGGTAGATAGGTGGAGAGTTGTTTGTGGATTGCAATGGTATATGCCAGCCATAGCAAGGGCGCTAAGCCACAGCCCTGACGTATTCCTCGGTGCATAAACACCGACTGCTGCCCACTAGGCCCTTCTATTACAACTTCAGCATTATCGTGTATATGGAGGATAAGTGCTATGAGGTCCGAAGGAATGTGGAGCGCCTGGAGGGAACGTAGTAGTTGGCTGCGGGGTATACGGTCAAAGGCCTGCTTCAAATCCAAGGATAACTGCATGCCTCCACAAAATCCAGGTTGTTTGTGACCTGATCTCTTGCTGAAGATGTCGTGTTTATGTGTTTGAAGCGCCGAGCGGACTCTGTGGCAGTGTGCCAGTACACGTTCCAATGCATCCCCTGTTTGCCTGCCGCATGCATACGCGAACTGGGGAATAAGCTGGAGTGCCGAGGTGAGAAAAGGCCGGAGCCTCTCCGCTGCTACTTTAGCCAAGATCTTAGCTTCAGCCGGAAGTAAGTTGATGGGCCTTAAGTTAGCTGGCTTACATGGTGGCTTACCCGGTTTTGCCAGAAGGACCAAGTAGGATCTTAGAATGTCCTCAGGGAGTCTGATGGGGCCGGTTTTCAGACCTGCATTGAGACGTGTACAAACACGATGGGCCAGATCAGCCTCAGCAAGTCTCCACAGTACAGCAGGCATCTGGTGCTTGGGAAGAGCTTTTCTCGTCGATAATGAACGGATGGCATGAAAGGTTTCATCCAGGGAAATGTTAAAGTCTTCTTCCAAGCACCATGTAGTGGGGGCATAGGTGGGGTCATGATACAAGTCGCGGAAAAAGGTCGTGGTGACTTGAAGTTCCTCAGCCTGAGACATCAGCGAACCATTCTGTGCACGAAAGTGTATGCTGCGACGTGGTGTTTTCGGTCGCATGAAATTGATTAGCTGATGCAACCCCGTGAATCCAGCCTTGGAGGCAGCTGACGTCTGCTGTATGAGAGCATCGATTTTCTCGATTTTGTGCAGCCTTGCTCTGGCTCTGATGGTCTTATTGCACCTGTCAAAGGAGTGGCTGTGCTTCCAAAGGTCGAATAGTTTCCGTAGTGATCTGCATACAGAGGATGTCTGATGCTCCCATATGTTGGCCGGGCTGAATGTAGAGATCATGCTCAGCAGCGGTGCCACAAACGATTGACACTGCTCTTGGCTCTGCCGCAGTTCGGCTTTCAGGCTCCATAGTGTTTTAAGGTTAGCATGGGATGATGGAAGGGGGCCTACAGGTTCTTGCCGTGCTGTATGGCTCGGAAGGGTTTGTTTGGCTTTGGTCCAGGCCTGGCAGATTGTCGAGTCAATTGCTTGATCGTCAATCGGTGCTAGCGCAAGGTAATGGTTGAAGGCGGACGCCAGTTCAGGCGATGCATCTAATGACTGTCGTACCTGTGTGGGTGTGGTTCTGCTAATGATAGGCTTTTTCGGGGCAGTGGGCCTAGGGACTTGAGCTATCACCGGAACATGGCGGAGACCCGTAGGGTGAACAATCGGTTCATTCGACCAGGCAGAGGCTGTACGGGCCAAGGGGGTGCCCGGCAGTCTGGCACAGATAAAGTCTAGTTGCGTACCAGGGCGGGGCGGCTGAAGGAAGGTTGCTGAGGGAGGCCCGGCCTTACCCCAGGAATTAAGGACTACCAGGCCAAAGTCGCGGAGCAGGCCAGCTAATTTATGGGAATCGGGGTGTTTCTTCTGTCCTAGAGCAACCCCTGATCCAACATGCGGTGGCATGGGCGGCAGGGTGCAGTTCATATCACCAGCAAGATATAAAGAGTTTCTGGATGGTATGGAATGTAGCCACTGTCGCATGGCAGTCCAGATGACTGCTCTTTGTTGCAAAAGTTCTGCAACAGCACCCTGAGCCGATTGGCGCGTGGCGATGCTGTGCTCATTCCAGGCCTGTTGATAGATCCCCAAGATATCAACCGGAGGTTGAGTTTCCAATCTTAAGTGAACTAAGCGACCCGGTATGAGCTCGGCATATCGAACACCAGAGGACGGAACTAGGTGCTTGGAAACTGCAAAGAGTATGCCACCTGTTGCTGTGCCACTACCTGAGTGTACAAACGTCCAGTGCTCGTTACTGTATTCACTGCTTTGAGGCCAGTGCGTTTCCTGCACACATACCAGTTGTATCGCCGGGCGAGTGGGACACGACCGAGGTAGTACTCGGGGCTCAGTGGAAGTTTCGTCCGAGATCCATCGAAGGAATTCTTGATACCGAACTGAATGCAAACCCCCACAATTCCAGCTAGCCATCCCAAAGTGTGAGCGTGTGTCCAGCGATGGGGGATTATTACTAGACTGCGTGTTACGGGTTGTTAAGGGCTTGTACGATACTGCTTTGGCCGACAAGCTCGTCGGGGTATGCAGCCTACCTCTATACCATGTGCTGCCCTTCTGCACCGCTCTGGTCTGGGCCCGGCGAAAAGAGCGCTTCCGCGCCTGCGAAAGAATGTGCACGAATTGTCCTGGCTTAGCTGCAGTGTCAGCTAGGGGTACAGAGGTTACATCTGGAGCAACGGCGGGGCCTATCGGGGATCTGTGGGCTGCATCTGTTCTTTCTGTGAGGATACAAAGCATCAGAAAAATGAAAAGCTTAGGGTGTACCCTGGGTGTGGGACTAGGTTTATACACCCTCAGATTGGTTGCGGAGCTAGCGGGGGTTTGGAGGCCTACAACCTGAAAGGTAGGGTGGGTACCGGGTATGGGCGCTGTGCAGCGGTTGCCGAAGACTGCAGTGCGGAACGGATGCCAGAGCAGAGCCGAGCAGGCGGTGACACGATTCACTGACCGGCGACGGCGGTAGCAGCCTGGAAACAGTCTTGTGGTATTCCAGGAGGTTATGTGTATGGTTCTAGTAAGGCTGAGAGCGAAGTGCAGGAGTCCTAGCGCAAGGACTGATGCCACGGCAATCTGCTGGGGCTGACGGCATTGCCCGGCCTGTTGGCTAGGCTGGTCGACTCTGTAGGCGATCAGATACAAAATGGCTCCTGAGCCCAGCTGGTCAGCTGGGGGTATTTCGTGGTGTCTGTTGACGTGTGTTGCTGCAGTCGGTGCTGTAGCTTGGCTAGTGGCCTGCAGCTGTACATTAACTGGGTCGTAAAGCTTCGCCTTCCTAGTGAAGTGTAAGAAGCATGTTGTGTGGACTTCATGGGGCCCCCGACCTAGGTGTCCCCAAACCCTCGTGTCTACAACCGGGGCATGCCAATGCAAGTCAAGATTCGTGGTGGCTGAACTCCAAGTAACATGACATGTCCAGGGAGGCTCAGGATGCCCCCGGTTGTCGTCGGACTTGGGACCGACGCGGCCCAACCTCTTGAGGTTCCTCATCGCCCTGGGGCTGCCTTGGCCGCACAGGGGGCCGTGGATCTCGAGACCCACGTGCAGGCTCCGGTTCGTTGTCCGCTTCCTCGGCATCCTCCAGTTCCATCGGGAGCTGGTCTTCGATGGCATCCGGAGAATCGGTGGGTACTCGGTGGTACCATCTCTGGAAGGCTCGTCTGTCGTCGTCAGACAGTAGGTGCCAAGTAAGCCAGAGGCATTCCACATACCAGCCGAAGGAGGCATAGACCACTGCCTGTTGAACAAACCGCTCCGGTTCCGGCGTATGCAAGCTTCTGGCCAGTCCACGTACCAGCAATAGCTGCAGGTGCTGTTGTACCTGTTGACGCGTGGGGTCACCAATATTGCCCACTTTATCCGAGAACATCCATGTATAGTCGTTGTCCGGAATGGGCGTCTCCAGCATAGCCAGTAGTCGGCTGGAATCGGCTTGCAGGCCTTGAGCAGTGTCCCCTGACAAACTCGGACGGGTGACCGCAACGACTTCCAGTGGCGACATGTTTTGCGATCTGCGTCGCAGCGAAGAAAGCATGCCAGCCACCTGTCGGGTGGTTCTTCCCTCACTTTTGTACTCTGCTTCCAGTAGTTGTTCACAGAGCATGACCACGAGTTTCTTGGTAAACCACGCCAGCAGTCGAGCCATTCTTCTGGCTTCCTTTGCTCTAAGCGCAGCAGCTTTGGCCCTGGCTCGTGCCCGCTTCGTGCTCGAGCTGTCGTCGGATCGGGCGGTCGAGCTGCTATCAGAAGAGCTAGAAGAAGAGTGATCTGAAGGGCTCGAAGCAAGAGAGCGAGGCATCGCGAGCTGCCCATGAAGAGCTGAGGTCAGAAAAAGGGGAGGTCTTCGAATCGGGCCGAGACACTTATACATACGTACATACATACATACATACATGCATACATACATACATACATACAGCTATGTGTGTATAAAAGGGTATACACATACATGCATAGGTACATACACACATACGCACATATACATACATACATACATACATATGGGCTGGCCTGCAGGCAGACGGACTGACAAACATGCCTACTGACTCGTTAGCTTCTACTATGCAGAACCCCCCCCCCCCCACACCTCCCCATGATCCGAGCTCAGCATTAGACACCTACTCAGGAATCCGAAGATCCTGCAAACCGAACCGTAGAGCCGAAAACTTCTTGACCCGGCCTCTCTCGTGAGAAGCTGGGACTCAGGCTGACTGCGACTGCTGGAGCAGCAAAACGCTTGAGGAAAGAACCCGTTGAGAGCAATCGCGTGATAAAGCGGTTTAGGGGTCTGGCGGGAGGATCATGGGACTTAGCAAGCAAGGTCGCAAGTACCTTCATTGGGCTTTGAAGTAAGTAGAAGTATGGTTACCTTATATATAGCCCTCGTCACTAAGTCCCATGACCCTTTAAGTACTGCCAGGGGCTAAGAACTTTAGGGTTCGGCAGCTAGGGCTTTGTTTTGATGCCCTAAACCCTAAACACCATAATTACCCACACACTAAGCCTTGGCTCGATGTCTGATTGAAGGGTGAGGCTTTAACATCGGACTGCTCGGAAGATCGAAGGGCCCGGACAAGGGTAGGGTTTAGGGATTTAGGGCTTGGGGGCGAGTCTTGTGTATAGTGATTTGTTTCTCCGTGCTAGAAATATCCCGAGTTGCACTTGGTTCCATCACTTGCTTACGAGGTCACCTTCTCCGTCAACCCTAACAGCCCCCAAAAACCCAAATCCCTTGACGCTTTCATTCCTTAGCCAAACACTGTTGACCTTATTCCAAAGACGGGCGCAGGCTCCTATACCCGGCAGATTCCTACGTATTGCCCTGATCGACCGTCAGCTGAAATATCGAGACAGTTGAATCGAACCTAAACCCTGAACCCCACACCCTACCCCCCAAACTTTAGACCCATAGTTGACCGCAAGCCGAGAACCATGAAAGCTGGCAGTACCACACTCCTAGACCCTAATGAACTCCCAATTCTTCAACAGATCCTAAACCCTCCGAAGGCCCCCAAAACGCTGCATCAAGGCTGTGCGTGAAGCTGAGGCGCGCTAGTTCAGGGTTGCCAGATAACATACCATAATACAAACTATGCATACTAGACTATATTATGATCATTAGACGGTAGTATATTGTTCTAAACGATAACAACGTACTAGAGTACACCAGTCCCCGAATCCTGGAACCTAAACCCCGAAACTAACAAGGGTCCATTGACCCCAAGTTCTCTGTCGGACTCCGGTCACTGGAGTGACGTATCTAGGGTGTACGGTTAGGGTTTAGGGTTTAAGATTTGGGATCTACGGTTTAAGGTTTAGGGTTTGGGCTTTTTCGGTTCTAGGGTTTAAGGCACTGCTTCGCTCTCACTGGGTTAGGAGTTTATGGACTTCTCCGGCGGCTCTGGAACCTGAAACTCCGCAAGCTACGGAAATCCACGAGTATGGTTTAGGGTTTGGGGCCGTTTAGGGCGTCAGACTCGGGTTTAGGGTTTAGGGTTTGGGGTTTCAGACTGGGGTTGAGGGCCGGATTTCCTCAAAGCATAAGCCCCGTAGAGCCACATATCGTCAACATCCCTCGTTCCTGAACGAGGCAAGTTGAGGCTTGAGGACTTGGGGGCGAAGGAATCATGGGCGTGATGTTTATTTACGTAGCTGAAAGCTGAAGCCAGAAGTCCAAAAGCGCAAACCCAAACGGAGGAGCATGACTGAGAAACCCGGATGAAGAACCCCACACAAATCTTCATCATGGGCCTGGGCGTCTATAAGCTCGAGTAGCCCGTGGCACTAGATCATAAAAGCCCTAGAAAAACTGAAGTTTACTTGCTCGACTACAGAGTCACTAAGTCTTTCGTCTATGGCAAGCCGCTAAGGACTGTGATACAGGGGCCTCAACAGTTGAAAAGTAGGTTTCGAGGCTTAGTCGTACTACAATCATAAGTATACGACAATACGTTGGGAACCGTGAGGAATACTTGTTATAAGTACCCTAAACCCCTAAGCCCTCAGTTTACAGGTATTCAGGCTGCTTCAGTATGGCCAGAACTTCGAATGCCCCGGGTCGTTCCAGTGCTCCGATGGCCTCGAGAGTTCTGAGCCCCACACCCTAAACCGCTAAACCCCCAAACCCTGAACCTCCAAACCCTCAGATTGTACAGGCAGGGCTCCGGATGGTTGGTAGAAGCCCCAAAATCCCGGGCTACGCCTGACGATGGAGGACTCTAGAGTCTAGAATCTCCGGGCTCGGAGTTTTAGGGTTTGAGGCTTTAGGTTTACCGGTTGGGGATGAACCCTGCCAATCACGCAGATTTGTCTCTGACGCGCCAGAGAAGGGTGGCTCCTGCATGCCTGAGCGGCATCGCTAAAGCCCCTGCTATCCCAGGCCAAACCGCCCCAAAGCTCAGAGGCTGGGCGTACCTTTTCTCCAACTCCCTACGATTTTAAGAAGTTAGATTGGGATTTGGGGCTAGGGGATACCTTACCACCAAGGGATGCCAAGCTACTAATGCTTCGTTGGGTTTGGGGCTTACGGTATAGGTAAGCTTTAGGAGGACAATGGCAAGGAGCTACCGGAGCTACTGCTGCTTTTGGCAAACCGAAGTCGCGGGTTTCGGCTCCGGGGCTGACAAGAGATCAGGCAGTGCAGGGCTCAAGGACCGGAGCTTCGAAGGGTTCCTGCTAAGGAAGTGATATTTAAGTTACCACAATCGGGATCTATGGTAAATAAGATCGTCTCCATGCTATGGAGACGAAAAATAACCTAGTGGAGATAGCAGGTTTAGGGATTCGGGCTGTGCGTCTAGACTTTACCCGTACTTTCCGTAAGCTCGGAAGAAGCATCTGCCTGGACAGGTTGCGGTAGGTTAAGCTTGGCTGGGTTGCTGCCCAGGAGCTTAAAAAAAGTTGCTTTAATAACGATACTCCATGATTTACTATAATATATCCCCAAAAGGGTAACTTAGTCAAACTAAGTTCCTTAACAGCAATCCACTTAGCTCTATGGTTCTGGGGCTCAGAACTAATGAAGCTGTTCGCCAACCCACTACGGAATTTGCATGTTACTGAGCTGCTTGTATGATAATAGCTGAATAGGAACCAAGCAAAAGTACACTAAGGAAGTGTACGCACAACCTAGACTAAGACTAGGAAGTGACATTCCCGAACCCTCTCTACCGTGCCCTCAGCAAAGCGATTGTAGCCTCGCTCAGTCGCATCGGGCATCAAAACTTCTTCCTGTCAATGCGACAGCAACCTAAAAACCCGAAACATCATAATATCCTATAATATGCTTGAATATACAACTGTAACACACCTTCATATACCATAATATGCAAGAGTGACATAGAGTATACTAAACACCCTGTGCGTGGAGGTCGAAGTTATAGGGGCCCTGTAGAGAGATAGTCACGGACCCAGCAGCCGAAGCGAAGTTGAAGGATTCAGTCAACCAGAAGGGGGTGTAGAAGCCCCTCACAGGTGGGTAGTTCTTCTTCCATACTACTCCCATAAGACCCCCTTTACCTTATAGGAGTGGTATGGGAGGCTTATGGAAAACTACCCACCTAATAACTACCCACCTGTAAATGGCTTAGAGGCTGTGGAGGTTACGGCTTGATGTGGAATCAAAGGACCCCAACAGGGACCCTCATTTAGAGAACTCCCCATGTTCAGGACTTGTTGTAGAAGAGCTCTGGGGTTGGCGCGGGGCTCGGTGCCCACAACTTCTGAAAAGCTGGAGGTCTCACATTCGGCTTGCTGTTCCTTCTCTAAGTTCGGGTTTCGTTTAGGACAAGTTCTATGCACACTTCTAATCTGTGCGGATTTTCAGCAGACTTGTCTCAGGTTTTCAGGACACCACTTTCCAGCGTTGTCCAGTACTCCGGGTTCCGTATGATGCGGACCCCGGGCTTCACCAGGAACAAGGATGGCTCTGAAGCAGGGTCCGGTTAAAGGGTTTGGGGTCCAAGACAGAAGTCAAGTCGGCAAAACCCTCACTACCCTGATCCCAAACTACTTTGGAACTCTCACTACGCAAAAACAGCCACCATCCGAAACCCTTCCCCTAACTGCCCCAACTGCCCCTGTAGAAGACAGCCACAAAACAACTGCCCTGTCAAGAGGCCCTAAACCCTACAAACTCCAAAGCTTAAACCCCGAAGCCCTCGACCCTTACCCTAAAAATCCTAAACCTGGAGGCCCTAACCCCTTGCCCGAGACCGGGGTCCCGGAGGCCGCGCGCTTCTCTCTTTCCTTGGCTACGCCGGGAACCCCGGGCCGAAACCACAAAGCAAAGCAGTTCTCAAAAACTGGCTTTTGGTGAACTCAAGTCTAGGCTTCAGGGCGTTCGGTTTTGGAGTCTAGAGTCTAGGACGTAGGTTCAGGGTTTCAGGTGACAGGGTTTCGGGTCTCGGATTCAGGGCGCAGCTCTAAACCCCCAAACCCTAAACTCACAGGGTGCAGCAGGGTTTGGGGTTTGAGTTGGCTTGCTGTAGGTGTCGGGGTGTGCCTGAGGGTTCTCTGGGAGCTTACGGGTCTCGTAGTCCGACTTGGGTCTAGGGAGCTTGGTCTTAGTGCACCGTCTGTAGTCCGAAGCATCCACAGCCCTAACCCGAATTCCCCATACCCTCGACTCAGGGAAACGAAATCCCAAGTCCCTGAAATCCTAAGTCCTAGGCCGGCGACATGTGCCTGAAACCCGACTCCGGAAGAGCAGCAGCTTCGATGCTATGAGCCCAAACCAAGCCTCAACTCTCATGATCTAGGGGCATTAGAATGGGGCTTTGGGGGAGCATTGTAATATGACTATAATAAGATATTGTTGGTAAGTATTCCGGCTATAGTGAACTTGCTTAACTTAAGAGTCCCTTACGAAACCCCGGTCAACAGTTGGATGAGCCAGAAAAGAACCAC